GTTGCTGTATACGGTACGGAAAGGAATACACAAATAACCCGTACTTAGGAGAGAGGAGCTTACGACGACGTTTCGGTCCGACTTGCACTATTTATAAGTCACACTGACACACGACGGTGATAGTGTGACTTTGTAAATGGTCCAAGTCGGACCGAAACGTTGTCGTAAGGTTCTCTCACTCTCCTAAGTGCACGTTATTTGTTTATTGTTCCAGTCACGGTATTGTGCCTTTCTATTCTTTAGAGAAAGGAATACAATCCAAACAAAACTGATGTTATTACCAGTAAAAAATAAAAATAACAAAACATTGATCATAGTTCGGTTACAATCTCAATAAAGACACTTTGTCTAGCCCAGGGAACTTAGCCTTTTAACAATTACAGAACCCTAATACATCGTGTATGACCCCTGTCACTGTCCAAACACTGCACTTTGTCACTGACATCTACTTACAAACCATACTAGCAGTAACAACAGTACTGTCAGTGATACTTATAACCTAGTCTTAGTGTAGCAGTAACAACAGTACTGTCAGTGATATTTATAACCTAGTCTTAGTGTAGCAGTAACAATAGTACTGCCAGTGATACTTATAACCTAGTCTTAGTCTAGCAGTAACAACAGTACTGTCAGTGATACTTATAACCTAGTCTTAGTGCAGCAGTAACAGTACTGTCAGTGATACTTATAACCTAGTCTTAGTGCAGCAGTAACAACAGTACTGTCAGTGATACTTATAACCTAGTCTTAGTGTAGCAGTAACAACAGTACTGTCAGTGGTACTTATAACCTAGTCTTAGTGTAGCAGCAGTAACAACAGTACTGTCAGTGGTACTTATAACCTAGTCTTAGTGTAGCAGTAACAACAGTACTGTCAGTGGTACTTATAACCTAGTCTTAGTGTAGCAGTAACAACAGTACTGTCAGTGGTACTTATAACCTAGTCTTAGTGTAGCAGCAGTAACAACAGTACTGTCAGTGGTACTTATAACCTAGTCTTAGTTTAGCAGTAACAACAGTACTGTCAATGGTACTTATAACCTAGTCTTAGTGTAGCAGTAACAACAGTACTGTCAGTGATACTTATAACCTAGTCTTAGTGTAGCAGTAACAACAGTACTGTCAGTGGTACTTATAACCTAGTCTTAGTGTAGCAGCAGTAACAACAGTACTGTCAGTGGTACTTATAACCTAGTCTTAGTTTAGCAGTAACAACAGTACTGTCAATGGTACTTATAACCTAGTCTTAGTGTAGCAGTAACAACAGTACTGTCAGTGATACTTATAACCTAGTCTTAGTGTAGCAGCAGTAACAACAGTACTGTCAGTGGTACTTATAACCTAGTCTTAGTGTAGCGTAACAACATGTACTGTCAGTGATACTTATAACCTAGTCTTAGTGTAGCAGTAACAACAGTACTGTCAGTGATACTTATAACCTAGTCTTAGTGTAGCAGCAGTAACAACAGTACTGTCAGTGGTACTTATAACCTAGTCTTAGTGTAGCAGTAACAACAGTACTGTCAGTGATACTTATAACCTAGTCTTAGTGTAGCAGTAACAACAGTACTGTCAGTGATACTTATAACCTAGTCTTAGTGTAGCAGTAACAACAGTACTGTCAGTGATACTTATAACCTAGTCTTAGTGTAGCAGCAGTAACACCAGTACTGTCAGTGATACTTATAACCTAGTCTTAGTGTAGCAGCAGTAACACCAGTACTGTCAGTGATACTTATAACCTAGTCTTAGTGTAGCAGTAACAACAGTACTGTCAGTGATACTTATAACCTAGTCTTGGTGTAGCAGTAACAACAGTACTGTCAGTGGTACTTATAACCTAGTCTTAGTGTAACAGCAGTAACACCAGTACTGTCAGTGATACTTATAACCTAGTCTTAGTGTAGCAGCAGTAACAACAGTACTGTCAGTGATACTTATAACCTAGTCCTAGTGTAGCAGTAACAACAGTACTGTCAGTGATACTTATAACCTAGTCTTAGTGTAGCAGTAACAACAGTACTGTCAGTGATACTTATAACCTAGTCTTAGTGTAGCAGTAACAACAGTACTGTCAGTGATACTTATAACCTAGTCTTAGTGTAGCAGTAACAACAGTACTGTCAGTGATACTTATAACCTAGTCTTAGTGTAGCAGCAGTAACAATAGTACTGTCAGTGGTACTTATAACCTAGTCTTAATGTAGCAGCAGTAACACCAGTACTGTCAGTGATACTTATAACCTAGTCTTAGTGTAGCAGCAGTAACAACAGTACTGTCAGTGATACTTATAAACCTAGTCTTAGTGTAGCAGCAGTAACACCAGTACTGTCAGTGATATTTATAACCTAGTCTTAGTGTAGCAGCAGTAACAACAGTACTGTCAGTGATACTTATAACCTAGTCTTAGTGTAGCAGCAGTAACAACAGTACTGTCAGTGGTACTTATAACCTAGTCTTAGTGTAGCAGCAGTAACAACAGTACTGTCAGTGGTACTTATAACCTAGTCTTAGTGTAGCAGCAGTAACAACAGTACTGTCAGTGATACTTATAACCTAGTCTTAGTGTAGCAGCAGTAACAACAGTACTGTCAGTGATACTTATAACCTAGTCTTAGTGTAGCAGTAACAACAGTAACTGTCAGTGATACTTATAACCTAGTCTTAGTGTAGCAGCAGTACAACAGTACTGTCAGTGGTACTTATAACCTAGTCTTAGTGTAGCAGCAGTATACAACAGTACTGTCAGTGATACTTATAACCTAGTCTTAGTGTAGCAGCAGTAACAACAGTACTGTCAGTGATACTTATAACCTAGTCTTAGTGTAGCAGTAACAACAGTACTGTCAGTGATACTTATAACCTAGTCTTAGTGTAGCAGCAGTAACAACAGTACTGTCAGTGGTACTTATAACCTAGTCTTAGTGTAGCAGCAGTAACATCTTGCAATCTACTGACCTTGTTATTTTCTCCATAGATATGTTAATCTTAGCACATTTCATGATGATGGATAATGGATCTGCTAATTCATAGCTCAACTTTTTTCAAGCACAACTCCCCACCCTCCCACACAATCCCACTCCTCCTCACAATCCACTCCTCCCAACTATCCACTCCTCCCTCACAATCCCACACACCCAACACTATCCCACACCACCCTCACAATCCCATCTCCCCTCACAATCCCACTCCTCCTCACAATCCACTCTCCCTCACAATCCCACTCATCCCACACAATCCACTCCCCCACAATCCCACTCCTCCCTCACAATCTCAACTCCCTTACAATCCCACTCCACCCTCACATCCACTCCTCCCTCACAATCCACTTCCTCCTCACAATCCACTCCTCCCACCAATCCACTCCAACAATCCCACTCCTCCACACAATCCCACCATCCACCACAATCCCACTCTCTCCCTCACAATCCCACTCCTCCACAAATCCCACTCAATCCCACTCTCCCCTACACAACCCACTCTCCCTCCACAACCCACTCCTCCCTCACAATCCCAATCCTCCCCAAATCCCACTCCTCCTCCCAATCCAACTCCCCCTCACAATCCACTCCTCCCACACAATCCCACTCCTCCCTCACAATCCCACACCTCCCTCACAATCCCACTCCCTCCACAATCCCACTCCTCCCCACAATCCCACTCCTCCCTCACAATCCCACTCCTCACCTACAACCCACTCCTCCCTCACAATCCCACCCTCCCACACAATCCCACCCCCTCCCACACAATCCACTCCTCCCACACAATCCCAACTCCTCCCTCACAATCACCACTCCTCCCACACAATCCCACCCTCCCACACAATCCCACTCCTCCCACACAAATCCCACCCCTCCCTCACAATCCACTCCTCCCTCACAATCCCACTCCTCCCACACAATCCCACCCCTCCTCACAATCCATCCCACACAATCCCACCCCTCCCTCACAATCCCACTCCTCACTCAACAATCCCACTCCTCCCCACAATCCCCTCCTCCCACACAATCCCCCCTCCCTCACAATCCCACTCCTCCCTCACAATCCCACTCCTCCCTCACAATCCCACTCCTCCCTCACAATCCCACCCTCCCTCACAATCCCACTCCTCCCACACAATCCCACTCCTCCCTCACAATCCCACTCCTCCCACACAATCCCACCCCTCCCACAATCCCACTCCTCCCTCACAATCCCACCCTCCCTCACAATCCCACTCCTCCACACAATCCCACCCTCCCTCACATCCCACCCCTCCCTCACAATCCCACTCCTCCCACACAATCCCACCCCTCCCTCACAATCCCACTCCTCCTCACAATCCACACCCCTCCCTCACAATCCCACTCCTCCACACAATCCCACCCCTCCCACACAATCCCACTCCTCCCACACAATCCCACCCTCCCTCACAATCCACCCCTCCCTCAAAACTCCACCCCTCCTTCACAATCCCACTCCTCCTCACAATCCCACTCCTCCCTCACAATCCACTCCTCCCTCACAATCCCACCCCTCCCTCACAATCCCACCCTCCCTCAAAACTCCAACCCCTCCCTCACAATCCCACTCCTCCCTCACAATCCCACTCTCCTCCACAATCCCACTCCTCCCTCACAATCCCACTCTCCTCACAATCCCACTCCTCCCTCACAATCCCACTCCTCCCTCACAATCCCACTCCTCCCTCACAATCCCACTCCTCCCTCACAATCCCACCCCTCCCTCACAATCCCACCCCTCCCTCAAAACTCCACCCCTCCCTCACAATCCCACTCCTCCCTCACAATCCCACTCCTCCCTCACAATCCCACTCCTCCCTCACAATCCCACTCCTCCCTCACAATCCCACCCCTGCCCAAGTGTTGAATGATGAAAGTATTTTCTTTTTGAGGATTTTCTTTCTTTTTTGGGTCACTCTGCCTCGGTGGGAGACGGCCGACTTGTTGAAAAAAAAATTATACAGAAATGAGTAACATGTAGTGGGAGAGGTACTTACAAGTCAGTGGTTGTGGGTGGGAGACAGTGAGGCCATATATCAGTGAGTGAAGTGATCCTGAGGTGATCATGACATGACACTCTGAGATGAGGGGGGGTGGCCACCCCCTCCACCAGCTGTGTGATCTTACACAGGTCCTCTGGGCACGTGTAGGGGGGTCCACTTACCCCCCTCATCCCGCCTCCTTCCTCTTCCTCCTCTTCCTCTTCCTCTTCCTCCAGCACCGCCCACTTGTCCTGGCGACCGGTGTTGAGGGTAGTGGGGGCGTGGGCGGAGGTGGAAGGAGTCTCCACCCGCCCGCCCAAGGTGGTGGTGGGTGCGTGGGCGGTGTTAGCTGGGTTCTCCGCCCTTCCTCCGCCCAAGGTGGTGGTGGAGGCGTGGGCGGTGGAGGAGGGGTTGTCGGCCCGCCCACCACCCACCAGCAGGAGGATAAGGAGGGCGGGCACCCATACTGAGGTGTTGGTGGGCGGGCGTGGGCGGGTGGTCATCATGGCCAGGGTTCAAGTGGGCCACACACACCCATAGCGCCCATCTGAAACAAACAACCAACATTAACATAAACAACCAACATTAACACAAACAACCAACATTAACACAAACAACCAACATTAACATAAACAACCAACATTAACACAAACAACCAACATTAACATAAACAACCAACATTAACATAAACAACCAACATTAACACAAACAACCAACATTAACATAAACAATAAAACACGCAAACACAATGATTTAAAATTTAAATAAAAAATAATAAAATTCAAATTAACCTGTAATAACAAGTGTCAATGAATAAACAGAAGGGTGGACGCAAGGGAACCGAACCGTGGTCAGTAATGTGACAGACCGACGCAACACCGTCTAGCCTAGACGGTAGTGCTTTAGTATCTCTCTCTCTCTCTCTCACTTCCGTAAAGTCTCTCTCTCTCACTTCCGTAAAGTCCCTCTATCTCCTCTCCTCAATTTCTTTTTCTTCCGTCTTTAATAAATCTGGTTGAGAGCGATGGACGAGATATTGATGTGATCCAATATCCAGGAGATGGATGAGCCAAAACTGATGTCTTGAGATTGATAACACCAACTTGCTGGGTTGATGTGTTGTTACTGCTATTACGTGTTGTTACTGCTGCTAAATGTGGGTCGATACATCAGTGTGCAACTTAATTGGGACAGGAGTAAATATTGCGATTATATCGTAACATGTCTTAGTCTCTGGCTTAATTTATGTAGTTAGGATTCTTTTCTTTACAGAAGTTTGCTACCAACTTCTGGCAACCATCCAGCTGTGGTGTTACCCTGCGACTCTCGTCAGTGCTACAACAGTTACACCTAGGAAGCGTGAAAGTATTGTAGATCTTAGAAAACATGCTGATTTGAGTATCAGACAGATCGTCGAAAATTTGAGCCTACCAAAGTCAACTGTTGGTCAGATTCTGAAGAAACCTGACGACAGTGGTGATTGTGGAGTGCTGCGTCGAGGAAGATGTGGAAGAAAACGCAAGACAACACCTCAAGATGACAAGGTCATCATAAGCGATAGTGTGAAGGATCCCAAGAAAACCAACAAAGATCTAACGAGAGATTTGGCTCCAGCTGGCGTAAATGTTGATTCTTCAACTGTTCAACGAAGGCTCCTTGAAGTTGACAGAACTACTAAAAAGCCGGTAAAGAGACAATATTGACTGCTGCTATGAAGAAAAAACGGCTGCAGTAGGCACTTGATCACAAGGGATAGACGACAGATGAATGGAGAAAAAGTTATATTTTTGGATGAGGCGCATCTTGAAGTACATGGGTATATATCAGTGGTAGTGCATCTTGAAGTACATGGGTATATATCAGTGGTAGTGCATCTTGAAGTACATGGGTATATATCAGTGGTAGTGCATCTTGAAGTACATGGGTATATATCAGTGGTAGTGCATCTTGAAGTACATGGGTATATATCAGTGGTAGTGCATCTTGAAGTACATGGGTATATATCAGTGGTAGTTCTTGAAGTACATGGGTATATATCAGTGGTAGTTCTTGAAGTACATGGGTATATATCAGTGGTAGTGCATCTTGAAGTACATGGGTATATATCAGTGGTAGTGCATCTTGAAGTACATGGGTATATATTCAGTGGTAGTTCTTGAAGTACATGGGTATATATCAGTGGTAGTGCATCTGAAGTACATGGGTATATATCAGTGGTAGTGCATCTTGAAGTACATGGGTATATATCAGTGGTAGTTCTTGAAGTACATGGGTATATATCAGTGGTAGTGCATCTTGAAGTACATGGGTATATATCAGTGGTAGTTCTTGAAGTACATGGGTATATATCAGTGGTAGTGCATCTTGAAGTACATGGGTATATATCAGTGGTAGTGCATCTTGAAGTACATGGGTATATATCAGTGGTAGTGCATCTTGAAGTACATGGGTATATATCAGTGGTAGTTTCTTGAAGTACATGGGTATATATCAGTGGTAGTTCTTGAAGTACATGGGTATATATCAGTGGTAGTGCATCTTGAAGTACATGGGTATATATCAGTGGTAGTGCATCTTGAAGTACATGGGTATATATCAGTGGTAGTTCTTGAAGTACATGGGTATATATCAGTGGTAGTGCATCTTGAAGTACATGGGTATATATCAGTGGTAGTGCATCTTGAAGTACATGGGTATATATCAGTGGTAGTTCTTGAAGTACATGGGTATATATCAGTGGTAGTGCATCTTGAAGTACATGGGTATATATCAGTGGTAGTTCTTGAAGTACATGGGTATATATCAGTGGTAGTGCATCTTGAAGTACATGGGTATATATCAGTGGTAGTGCATCTTGAAGTACATGGGTATATATCAGTGGTAGTGCATCTTGAAGTACATGGGTATATATCAGTGGTAGTTCTTGAAGTACATGGGTATATATCAGTGGTAGTTCTTGAAGTACATGGGTATATATCAGTGGTAGTTCTTGAAGTACATGGGTATATATCAGTGGTAGTGCATCTTGAAGTACATGGGTATATATCAGTGGTAGTTCTTGAAGTACATGGGTATATATCAGTGGTAGTGCATCTTGAAGTACATGGGTATATATCAGTGGTAGTGCATCTTGAAGTACATGGGTATATATCAGTGGTAGTGCATCTTGAAGTACATGGGTATATATCAGTGGTAGTTCTTGAAGTACATGGGTATATATCAGTGGTAGTTCTTGAAGTACATGGGTATATATCAGTGGTAGTGCATCTTGAAGTACATGGGTATATATCAGTGGTAGTGCATCTTGAAGTACATGGGTATATATACAGTGGTAGTTCTTGAAGTACATGGGTATATAAACAGTGGTAGTTCTTGAAGTACATGGGTATAATCAGTGGTAGTGCATCTTGAAGTACATGGGTATATATCCGTTTGGGAGTGCATCTTGAAGTACATGGGTATATATCAGTGGTAGTGCATCTTGAAGTACATGGGTATATATCAGTGGTAGTGCATCTTGAAGTACATGGGTACATATCAGTGGTAATGAAACACAGCAAAGGCGAACCTCTTCGGAATGGACACATTCAACAAGAGGCAAAACACCCACCTAAGATGTTTTAGGAAGTTTTACTATTAAAGGCCCTAGACGGCTTGTTATTGTTGAAGGAACGATGACAAATACAAGACAATCCTGGCAACTCATTTGTTTCCCATTGCGGATAAAGACTTTCCTGATGGAGAAAACATTTTCCAGCAGGATCTTGCTCCATGCCACACTTCCAGAAAAATGTTGACAATCCTCGAAGAGAGTGAACTAAGAGTTCTAAATTGGCTTGGAAACTCTCCTGACCTCAACCCAACTGAGAATCTATGGACAATAACAAAACGCAGGATCGCGAAACAGGATTGTTCAACTGTGGAGAAGCTAATTGCTGCTGTTATTAGAACCCGGTACCAAGACGAAAAACTTGCCAAAATGTGCTCAATATTGGTCAATTCTATGCCAAAGTGTGTAGCAATGCTTATAAAAGCAAAGGATAGTCACATCTCTTATTAAATCAATTATCTGTCATATCATTGCCGTGTATTTTTCAAATAAACATTAATTTTCCAAATAAATGTATTTTCATCAGTGTCCCAATTAACACACTACTGTAATAGTCGCTGTCTTGAATTAAGGTTATCTTCTAAATATAATTCATATATAGCAACACACAGATCGAGGAAGAAATACACTTGAAATGTACAGTCAGACAACAATGAGATACAGAACTACATAGGGTACACGATATTTAACCATAACAATTATATTATTATTATTATTATACAATGGAGAGAGTAAGGCCATTCTGTCTAAATTTATGACAATGTAACCTGTGTGTGTATGTGCGTGTGCGTGTCAGTTCACCTGCGGCTCACCTGACACCCTAATCACCTAAATGAGTGACAGTTCCGCCTCTAGCATGGCAAATTACCCGGCTCTTGACGCCCTAATGAGCACGAGTGACACGGAAATTGTTGGCAAGGTGACACCCATACGCACATGTGTACGTGTACGTACGTACGTGTATGTGTGCGTGTGTGTCTATGTATGTGTTGGGCTGTCTACTGGCACTGACCAAACGTGGCATTAGTTAAAGAGACAGTGTTTGAATTGAGAGCAAGAGTATCAAGGTGATAGCACCAGAATCCAGGTGGCACAGCACCAGTATCAAGGTAACACAGCACCAGGATCAAGGTGGCACAGCACCAGCATCAAGGTGGCACAGCACCAGGATCATGGTGACACAGCACCAGGATTATGGTGACACAGCACCAGGATCATGGTGACACAGCACCAGGATCAAGGTGACACAGCACTAGGATCATGGTGACACAGCACCAGGATCATGGTGACACAGCACCAGGATCATGGTGACACAGCACCAGCATCAAGGTGGCACAGCACCAGGATCATGGTGACACAGCACCAGGATTATGGTGACACAGCACCAGGATCATGGTGACACAGCACCAGGATCAAGGTGACACAGCACTAGGATCATGGTGACACAGCACCAGGATCATGGTGACACAGCACCAGGATCATGGTGACACAGCACTAGGATCATGGTGACACAGCACCAGGATCATGGTGACACAGCACCAGGATCAAGGTGACACAGCACTAGGATCATGGTGACATCACCAGGATCATGGTGACACAGCACCAGAATCAAGGTGACACAGCACCAGGATCAAGGTGACACAGCACCAGGATCAAGGTGACACAGCACCAGGATCAAGGTGACACAGCACCAGGATCAAGGTGACACAGCACCAGGATCAAGGTGACACAGCACCAGGATCAAGGTTATACAGTGAATCATAGTGATGTCATGAAGTATTTCTTTAGTCTCAGGCTGGTTGAAAAGTGGAATGAATTAGATGAGGTAGTAGTGAAGGTAGACTCAATACACAGCTTCAAGAGCAGATATAAGAACCAGGAGGCCAGCAGTCAGTGAGGACAGTCGAAGTGGTCTAGGAAACAGGGTCAGGAGCTGT